GAGGACCTGTTAGTTGGAGGTCCAAGAAGCAGACGGAGACGGCACTCTCTTCCGTAGAATCAGAGTACATGGCGATGTTCCATGGGGTGAAGGAGGTGATTTGGCTGAGGAGGCTGTTAGAGGAGATTGGCCAGGAGCAGAAGGTTGCTACGCCGCTGTTTTGTGATAGCAAGGGGGCTCTTGGGATGGCCAGAAACGCTGTGCTTCATGGGCTGAACAAGCACATGCGTATCAAGTGGCACTGGCTGCGTAAGGAGGTGAAGAGGGGGACGGTGAATCCAATCTACATCAAGACTCACCAGCAGCCAACAGACTTTCTCACCAAGAGGCTTGCGGATGAGCCTCATTGGCGTTGTGTGCGCATGAGTGGAATGAGCATGAACTAGCATGGAATGACGGGGATGCAGCCGGCAGGCTGAGGGGGAGTGTATTGGGTGCAAATGCACATTGCACGACATCCTGCCGTCTTTTTGTACGAGTATGCGTGTGCGAATGCATTTGCGTGTGAATGGTGTGTTCGTGTGTTTTGTTGCTTTCGCATTTTTCGCTTGATGCATTTGCAGGTACTCGCGCAATGTGCGCTTCGGCACAACATTGTACGCGCTATGAACAGTGCAAGCAGAAAGGACGAGCTCGCAAAGGAACCCAAGATGGAAGCTTCGCAGTTCGGTTGAGTTTTTGCGCAGATTCAGTTCTATCCAACTCGAAATTGTACTGTTTTGTTTGGTTAACTATAGTGTAGCAGGGAAGGCACTATAGGGGTACAATTTAGGTAAAGGTTGGATGTTGTTTGTCTGTATCTGCATGCTACAAGGCCAGGGGAAACCAGCGGAACCAGCATTTGGCTGGTTGGGCAAAGACAAAACAGGTTCTGTTTTTAGAACCTGAACCTGGTTGTTGTTTTCCCAGGTTGGAAAAACAGAACCAGAGGTTGTTTACCAACCTACCACCTGCTATTTTGTCCAGCCAGGTTGGTTCTGTTGCTTGGAATTATTTGGGATCATCCCTGGTTGTTCCCAGGTTGATTCCCAAGGTCCTTGCTAGCTAGAACTATTTAATCCTTCTCTGTTTGTACCTGAATATAGTCAAATTGATTCAAGCGAATTCCTTCCTCGCTGGAATTTCGTTTCTGCGCTATTCGACGGCGGAATGCTACCCGAGTCAACGCTAGTATGCTAGCACTCCAACGCTAGGTAAACGCTGTCCGAGCCATAACTTAGTAATGGCAGAACTTTTCGCGAGGCAACTTGGCTCATTTTAAAGCTCCTGGAGCGAGCTTCGATATAGCGAATTCTCAGCTTAATCCGACCGACGGTCTGCACGGCACGCTGCGCGACGTTCAAGGTGCTCTTGCTGTTTTGACTAAGTCCTTCTTGATCCCTCTCTCTACAAACTCGGACCCGAGGATAGGGGCTGGTCTTGTACCAGGCACCCAGGGACCCTTGCTGCCCCGGTCGACCGCCTTGCTTCGCCGGGGCGACGTAGTTCACCTGCGCCAATAGCTCTTGGGACCGCTCGGCCTCCTGCATCGCCTCGTCCTGCAGGATGTACGAGGTCAACGTGTCCTCGTTGAGCGTCGCCCGCGTGCTCGGCGCCATCGACAGCCGCTTCAGCAGGTTGTAGCTGCTCGGGAGTCCCTGCATAACATGGGTGACGTACGACGCCGTCGAGTACTCTGCACCGGCCATCCTGATGGTGGCGAGAATTCGCCTGGCCCGGTTGCAGTAGTCGGTCGCCGTCTCCTGGTCGCCCATACGCAGGTGTGTCAGCTGCCCCTCCAGTTGGGCGATGAACAAGTCGTCGGTGACTTGGTAGGTCGACTCAATGAAGTGCCACGCCTGGTGGCCGGCGTCGAGGTACTCCCGGCACCACTTCAAGGCGATTTGCACGCCCGGCGAGCAGCACCGTGAGATGACCGTGAAGGTCAACAGCTGCACAGCGCGGAACTCAGCTCGCAGGTCGGGATCGCTCGGCGTCGCCACGGTACCTCGAGCAAAGCTGATCAGCCCGGCCATCTCCAGCTGGGGCTCGATGGCCTCCTTCCAGGTGAGTATGTCGGGTCGACCAACCAGCGGGGGAGTCACCGAGATCCTATCCGGCGTGAACTTGAAGTAGCCGTAGCTCGGCGCAATTCCGCCCGCCGTCACCTGGGACGCCGACATCGGCGTCAACCTGCTTCGTCGACCTCCGACGTCGCCCTGCGAGGTGCCCGCAGCCGACGTCGACCGAACCCCTCGCCCTTGAACGCCACCAACTTCGTCGGCGTGAATCACACCACGCTGCCTCGACGTGCCTCCCGCACTGCTGCCGACTTGGTCGCCTCCGGCGTTGACGCCCACGTCGACGCCGCCCTCGGTGTTCACCGGTCGAGGAGAAGCAGGCCGAGAAGGGTGCTCCGTCGCCCACAAGGAACGGATGCCAGCCTCGACGACCGCCCACGGCAGGTCGCCATACTCGTTGGCCTCGTGCTTCCTCCTCGCGTTTTCCAGCCGTGCCTCCAGGGTGTCCACCACCCCCGTGTCACCTATGGCGCCTACCATGGCGACTACCGCACAGCTGCCGGCCTACGAACAACTTAGGTAAGGTGCAACTAAGTCGACTAGACTGAAAGGTAAGTCATTGTGCCATCCACGCTCACCGCACCATGCGGAGATAACTCTAGTAACGGGAGCTAGACTACGGGCTAGGCACGGATGCTCGTGTGATCTCTGCGTTCGTTGGTCCTTAGTCGTTTTCCTAGTGCGCACACTACTTGCTAGTTCACAAGGCAATTTGGCAAGAGTTTCACTAGAGAAAGTTGACAATAATGATACAATGAAGTTGGCAAGACAAGACTACATCAGAGCTAGGATGCAAGCAGGTCGACTGCCAGCGCAGCATGGTCGACCGCGCTCCAGCAGTGCAGAGACGCGGCTTGCCAATGCTGCAGGTCGACGGCGTGACAACCGTGCAAGTCGACGGCGTGCCAGCGTTGCTCCCGCAGTCCAGCATCGCACCCGCTTCGCAGGTGCTCGTAGGTGATTGGCGCGCACTGCTTCGTCACCTGCACAGCGCACGCACCACATCAACTGCATGCTGACAACTGCTTCTGATGCACTACGTCGACCTCGGGATACCATCACCGAGGTCGTCCTCGCCAAAACCACCTGGGCGACCATCGCAAGCCTTTTCAGCACCTCGTCACCCAGGTAACCTGGTCGACCGGGCAACCAGGTCGACCAGAGGCTCCAGTGCGTGCCCGTCGACCACCCAGGTCGACGACCACTTCCAGTCGACCTCCCAGGTCGACCACTCCCTCTGGTACGTGTCGGTCGACCTCCCAAGTCGACGGCCACCTCCAGTCGACCTCCCAGGTCAACCACTATCCCCTGGTCGACCAGCTCCAAGTCGACGTCACTCCTGGTCGACCAGAACGGCTGGTCGACTTACCAGGTCGACCAGAAGGTCTGGTCGACTTCCCAAGTCGACCAGAAGGGCTGGTCGACTTCCCAAGTCGACCAGAAGGGCTGGTCGACGTCCCGGGTCGACCACCCGAAGTTGGCGCCCTCCCGAAGTCGGCTCCCGTGCAATGGCTCCCGTGCAGGTCGACCAACCTCGTCGACCAGCCCGCCCACTGCTGCAGGTCGGCTGCACCCCTACATCCGACCACGAAGTCGGCTCCGCCCAAGCGAGGACGGGGCCAACATACAACTCCCGTTGACAGTGTCGAGCCTATATATAGCCTCGTGTTGTACCCAGCTGATTGTTCAATTCAAGCTCTCTTTTCTGAGCTCGATCCTAGATCCTTACACTTGGTAATCAGAGCCCGTTTACACGCGAAGTTTTTTCGACCGCTAAAAACCAGTCTTCAAAAAACCGCGGGGGCGACGCAGTTAAACATCGATTTCGGGTACGTAAAACCGGTTCCGTGTTTTTCGCTCCCCCTCGTTTCGGTTTTTTCGGACGCGTAATGTCAGGCATGGAGGGCCAAGGCGACAACTATGCGACCACGAGCGACATCGCGAGCCTCCGCACCGACATGGAGCAGACGCAGGCGGCGCTACGACGACTCGAGGCCCTTCTGACACACCAACCAGGAATCGCCACCGCAGCAGCAGCGAACGCAGCAGCGACAGCACCAGCAGCACTGGCGACACCGACATTTCACGGACCGATGGCACCACTGTCGCCGAACCTCGAAGCAGCACGACCGAGGCTCCCTGAGGCGTTCGATCCAAGCGCGAAGGGATCCGACGTCCGGCGATTCGTGGCCACCCTCGAAATTTACTTCGAGGCCATTGGCTGTTCGACACCAACACACGACGCAGCAAGAATTCGGCTCGCAACGACATTGTTACGTGGACCGGCACTCGAGTGGATCTACAACACTGACGTGGCCCGCGGGGAGAAATCGTGGGCGCAGTTTCGGGCAGATTTAATCGAGCGTTTCGAACCGATTAATACGACCTACATGGCGCGGCAGCAGATACACCGACACAAGCAATACAGTAGTGTAGCACAGTACACGCAGCAGATGGAGTTACTGTTCAACCGCATCACCGACCTGACCGAAGGCGAAAAAATCCAGGCGTACACAGAAGGGTTAAAATTTGTGGCGAATTACAACAGCTACAGAGACATCGTGCGTGCTGCCGAACGATACGACGCGCTGACCCGAGAGCGATATGAGTGGTACTAAGAGTAAGTACTTTACTTAGCCATATGAGTGGTACCAAGAGTAAGTACGTTACTTAGCGATATGAGTGGTACTAAGAGTGAGTGTGTTACTTAGACGTATGAGTGGTACCAAGAATAGGTGCATTATTTAGCAATATGAGTGGTACTAAGAGTAAGTGTGTTACTTCATGATTAGAGTGGTACTAAGAGTATGTGCGTTACTTACCGTATGAGTGGTATCAAGAGTAAGGGAGTCACTTAGCCGAATGAGTGGTACCAAGAGTAAGTGCATTACTTAACGATATTCGTGGTACTAAGAGTGAGTACGTTTTTTAGCCGTATGAATGGTTCAAAAGGCGGTGAAGGCCGCCATGGAGGAGGAGATCCGCAGCCTCATCGGCATGGGCACTTGGGAGCTGGTCGAACGCCCGCCGGGAGTGAACATCATGAAGAACCGGTGGGTGTTGACGACGAAGTACCACATCGACGACACCGTCGAGCGAGAGAAGGCGAGGCTGGTCGTGAAGGGCTTCACCCAGGTGTATGACGTTCGCGCCGGTGGGAAGCTACGTGATGCTGAGGATCTTCCTCAGCATCGTCGCCGTCCTCAACCTCAACCTGATGCAGCTCGACATGAAGAACGCCTTCCTGCAGAGCAAGCTTGACCGGGTGCTGTACATGTCGCAGCCGGACTACTTCAACGACGGAACCGGCCGGGTGTGCAAGCTGCTGAAGAGCCTGTACGAGCTGAAGCAATCGCCGCTGATGTGGTACTTGGCGCTCAACGACGTGCTGGTCGGCGCCGGGTGGAAGAAGAGCCAGGTCGACGAGGCCCTGTACTTCAAGGTCGGCGACGACGGTGTGGCCTGCTGGGTGTTGGTCTACGTCGACGACCTGCTCGCCGCCAGCAGCAGCGCCGCGATGCTGGAGGGGCTGAAGGAGCTGCTGGAAGCCGCCTTTGAGCTGCGCAAGATCTCGCCGGTGCAGAAGTACCTCGGGCTGGAGATCGTGCGCGACAGGCCGGCGAGGAAGCTGTGGCTGCACCAGCGAGGCTACGCCGACAAGCTGCGTAGGCGTTTCATCGACGAGGAGCAGGGCGGTCGGACCCCAAAGACGCCGGTCTCGGTCGACGCCTACGCCGAGCTCACCTTCGACGACGAAGAGGCGCAGGAACGCGAGGAGGAGGAATACCGGCAGAAGGTCGGCTCGCTGCAGTTCGCGGCGACGACGACGAGGCCGGACATCGCGTTCGCGTGCAGCAAGCTGGGGAGCGGCCTCACGGTGAGGAGCGACCAGCATTGGCGCGAGGTCGACCGCTGCCTCGCCTACCTCGCCAACACGCGCGACACCGCCCTGGAGTTCGGCGGTGGTTTGGAGACGCTCGAGCTGGTCGGCTACGTGGACGCCGACGATGCCGGCGACAAGCAGAACCGGACGAGCACGGGCGGCTACGTGTTCATCTACGGAGGGGCCGCGGTCTCCTGGTCGAGCCAGCGCATCAAGTGCGCGACGCTATCGTCGACCGAGTTGGAGTACGTGGCGGCCGTCGACGCCGGGAAGGAACGATGCCGACTTCGCTTCGTCCTGGCAGAGTTCCGGCAGCTGGACGCCGGGAAGCCGACTGTCCTTCGCGTTGACAACAAGTCGGCCATCACGGTCGCCGAGGGCATGGGGTTGACGGGCAACCTCAAGCACATGGAGCAACGACAAGCCTGGCTGCAGCACATGGTGAAGCGGGGGAAGTTCGCGTTGAGCTACATCCCGACCACCGAGCAGCCGGCCGATTTCCTGACGAAGGCGCTGCACTACCCGGCCTTCAACCGGTGCTCCGTCGCAGTCGGCCAGGTGCGCCTGGCTGAAGTCGGCGACGGCGACAACGACGTGCAGCAGTAGGTGCCATGCCCTTTTGCATGGCTGGTGCGGTGTCCGGCGTGCTGTGTGTTGTGTGCACGCCACCGAGCTTTTCTTCGAGCAGTGCTGCCGTGTGGGCTGGGGGCCCAAGCGTGAACGCGGCAGGGGAGTGTCAACGGGAGTGTTGTGTGGCCCCGTCCTCGCTTGGGCGGAGCCGACCTCGTGGTCGGGTGTACGGGGGAGATGCAGCCGACCTGCAGCAGTGGGCACGGGGGCCACTGCAAGGGCGTTGTGTTGGGGGGCGCCTGGCTGGAGGGCGCCGAGCAGGTGGACGCCGTCCTGGGCGTCTGCTCGGCGTCCTGGGCGCCTGGACGCCGTCCTGGGCGTCTGCTCGGCGTCCTGGGCGCCTGGACGCCGTCCAAGGCGTCTGCTCGGCGTCCTGGGCGCCTGGACGCCGACCTGGGCGTCTGCTCGGCGTCCCTGGGCGCCTGGGCACCAACTGGAGCCTTTGCTCGACGTCCTGGGAGGTGGGGACGCCGACCTGGGGGTCTGCTCGGCGTCCCGGGCGCCTGGACGCCGACTTGGGCGTCTGGACGGCGTCCTGGACGAGTGGACGCCGACCTGGACGCCAGGACGCCGACCTGGGGACGCCGGGATTGATGTAGCCGACGTCCAACTGGGCTGGACGACCCGGCGGGATTGCCCGGTCGACCGGGATACCCGGGCGACGTGTGCGAAGGTCGCCGGGGAGATTTCTGCGAGGACGACGTGGCTGATGGGCGACGTCACGAACGGGAATGTCTTCGCTGGGCATGTGACGGGACATTGGGCGCCAACCAGCCGCGTACACCAGCGAAGCAGGTGCACCGTTGTCCTGCGGGTGCAACGCTGTGCAGCCGACTTGCTGCAGCGTTGGCACACCGTGGACATGCAACGTTGGCACGCCGCATCTCTGCAGCGCTGGAGCGGTGCGAGCATTGCTGCGCTGGAACGCGGTCGACCGTGCTGCGCTGGAGGTCGACCAGCAGCCTAGCTAGCTCTGATGTAGTCTGTTGAGCCAACGTTGTTGCTATCATTGTTGTCAATCTTTGCTAGTGGAACTCTTGCAAAATCTCCCCGTGAATGTGCAAGCAGAGAACACACAAGCAAACGACTAAGGAACGAACGCAGAGATCCCTCTCACGCACGTGCCTTCCCCGTAGTCAAGCTCCCGTTGCTAGAGTTATCTCCGCAGGTACCACTCATACGGCTAGTAAAATAGTTACTCTTAGTACCACTCATATCGCTAAGTAACGCACTTACTCTTGGTACCATTCATATGGGTAAGTAACGTACTTACTCTTAGTACAACTCATATCGTTAAGTAACACACTTACTCTTGGTACCACTCATACGGTAAGTAACGCACTTGCTCTTAGTACCACACTTATCGCGAAGTGACGCACTTGACATTAGTACCACTCGTATTGATAAGTAGCACAATTACTCTTAGTACCGTTCATATCGCTAAGCAACACACATATTCTTGGTATCATTCATACGGCTAAGTAACGTACTTACTCTTAGTATCACTTTTATCATTAAGTAATGTTGGAGTCAAAGCCCCCCCCCTCGCTTGGGCGCAGGCATTCTCTGCGACGACGTGGTGAATTCGACGAAGTGATCGTCGCATTGGATCAGCCCGTCCTCTGAAACCGCGGGTGGTTTTCGAGGAAGGTTGTCCTCTGATTCACCAGCCCGTCAACGAGCTCTGGTCGACGGGGTGCTGTTCGACGAGCTCGTCTTCTGATCTGCTTCTGGGTCGCGCGATCTCTGACGGACGGGGTGCTGTCCGAGGAGCCGCGTTCTCTGAACAAAGGGCGTTGTTCGGCGAGCGTCAGCTCGGCGAACTGGTCGGCCGAATTCGCGCGACTGCGAAACTCTGCGAGGGCATGCGAAATTCGCTCAGGTGGCTCTTAGCGAAATTCGACCTCCGAAATGGCATCACGTGCTCGACGGTGGACATCTGACAAAACCGTCGGAGCATTTTTTACCTGCCAGCTGCGCAATGTCTCGGACGGTGTAACCGTCTACCTGCACCTACTCGGCAGGTGCACACCTGCGCAGATATTCACCTGCGAATGCAGCGCTGGCAGGCCGCCCTGTTGCAGCGCTGGCATGTCGCCCTTCTGCTACGCTGGCAGACCGCTCTGTTTCAGCGTTGGCGAACCGCTCTGATGCAGTGCTGGCAATTCGCCTTGCAGAATGCTTGCTAGGGATTGCAATGCCATTCCAGAGATATCACTTTGCATGCTCATTCTTGTACTCTAATTCTCAATTTCTCAATGTACTTTCAATTTCCTTAGTGGAAACTCTTGCCAAATCTCTCTGTGAACAGAGCAAGTAGTGAGAACTCTGTTTGAACGTTACTAGAGCGCTACGATCACCCACACAACTCCGTGCCCTTCTCCGTAGTCCGTTCCCGTTGTAGGGTGACTCTCCGCATGGTGCGGTGAGCGTGGAACGGCCCCGCGTTAGAACCTTCAGAGTAGCCGACTTTAGTGCTCAATACCTAAGTTGTTGTAGGCCGGCAGCCGTCTAAACCGCCATGGTCGACCAGGAGGAGGTCGCTGCAGGCGTAGAGGATACCCTGCAGGCGCGGTTAGATGACGTTCGGGCACGCCACGCAGCTGGCGAGTACGGCGGAGCAACCTTGGAGGTTATGCTCTTTGGAACCCGCGTGCAGTGGGCGCGCGATCATCCAACGACCCGTACTGTGGCGGATGGTCTGCCCGCCACTCCCCGACCGGTGCGCAACGAAGGGAACGTCGACGACCAGGTCGACGGTGGTAACCAAGTCGGCAGCGAAGGCAGCACGAGAGATCGTGCAGTGATTCGGGCCGCTGACTTTGGCGTCGGCGGAATGCAGGCACGAGTTCAGCGCTCGGCGGCAGCGGGAAGTTCGAACGGCAACATCGATGGTCGACGCCTTTCTCCTCAGCGGAGTAAAGCCAGGCCGACATCGGCGACTCATGCGTCGGCTGGTCGCGACGGAGGCGTTGCGCCGGCGTACGGCTACTTGTGCCGAAGCCGCTCGAACGACGACACGACTCGATCACATGGATTGAGTCAATCGAACCTCAGCTAGAGATCACCGGATTGAGAAGTTCGTTGACGGCGATGTGGTGACGCCGGACGAAGACGACTCTGAACTCTGGGCGAAATTTTGCGCTGCTCACCTTCTGACTTTCATGGTTATTTCAAGGTGTTGTTCGCCGCTAGTGCAAGTCGCGCTGAAGCAGTGCCGACTTCAAGTGGACGCCGGCTACCAAGCGTGGCAGTACATCATGCGCACCTACAGAGCGACCGACGACCTCTACATCAGCCAACTGGAGAAGAAATTGGCCAACATTCGCATGGGCGAGCAGGAATCGGCGACCGAGTACTGCAATCGAGCGCGGCGAATTTTGGCGAACATGCGGATGGCTGGATTCGAGTACTCGGTGGCATCGTATGGCCTCCCCTCGAGCTACAATCTGATGCGACGGATGCTGATAATGCCTGGCATGCTCGAGACTCTGAACGAGGATTCGCTTTCGAGTCACATCATCCAGGACGAGTTTATGCAGGAGTCTGAGCGGTCTTCAGAGCTCCTTCCGCAGGCTAACTACGTCGCTCCGACGAAGCAGGGACGTCAGACGGGGCAGCGTGGGAAGTCGGGCGGAGGTGGAGGCAGTGGTGGAAAGTCTTCGAACACCAAGTCTACAGAGGGCGCCGACCGCGGGAAGTCGGCGAAGGGCACTGATCGCGGAAGCAGTGGTTCGCGTCGAGGAGGACGCCGCTGCTACATTTGCGGAGACCCTGACCACCTCTCCTACGACTGCCCTGATCGCGACGAGTCCGACGACAATCAGAGAGGGAGCCGCGGAAAGTCTGACAACGCCAGTCGTTCAGAGGACGGGAAGTCTGACAGCGACCGTCGTCGTCGAGACAACCAGCCGCGCAAGGAGAAGCCTGCGTCCTCGAAAACGGCGTCGAAATCAGAGGGTGATGCTTCGAGCGAAAAGGAAGCCTCTTGTTCGATGGTTGGCGTGGTCGAGGCAACTATTTCGCTGGCGCCGGAGACTGGAGCAGACTTCCAGGCGGTCGCAGCAGCCGTGCAGGCGAATCCGACTGTGGTTCTCCTCGACAGTGGCTGCTCCCATCATCTGATGGGAACGCGAGAGGCCTTCGTCGAAATGAAGCCAGGAGGAGAAATCCGTCACGTGCGCGGATTCAACGGGGCGCTTCAGAACGTCGAAGGCCGCAGCACGATTGCTCTGAAAGGGGAGACTGGGAAGCAGATTCTCATCCCCGACGTGTTGTACGTTCCGGGCGTGCACGCGAACCTGCTGTCTGCTGGTCAGCTGAAAGAAAATGGCGTGAAGCTGCAGAACGAGGGTGACGAGATGCTGCTCGTTTCCGCTGCAGGAGATGTGCTCGGTCGAGCACGCTACACCGGCCGAGTCCTCTGCACCAACCTCCGTCCTTGCACCTCGAAATCGACTGCATCTGCTACCGAAGCAGTTTCTCTGCGGACGATCGCCTCGGCGACGAAGTCAAAGCCGGCTAAGTGGCACGCGAGGCTCGCGCACGTCGGCATCGACACGATTCTGAGCTCGGCCAAGCATGACGTTGCCATCGGTCTGGACATAGAGAAGTCAACTGGAGCCGACTTGCCGTGTGCCTCTTGTGTCGGCGGCAAGCTGGCGCGTCATACTTTTCCAGAGATGGGATCAGAGGCTGCAAACGCCCTCGATGTCGTGCACATCAACCTCTGTGGCCCCTTCCGTGTTGCCGCCGCAGATGGGAGCCTCTACTTCCTCCTCCTCAAAGACCGCAAGACCCGCTTTGTGTGGGTCCGCCCGATCGCGAAGAAGAGCGACGTGCTGGTCGTTTTCGAGAAGTGGCTGAAGGAAGTGGAGCGACAGACTTCGATGACGGTGAAAAGGTTGCGCTCGGATCGCGGAGGCGAATTTCTTGGCAGGAAATTCACCGAACTTGTCGAGGACAAGGGTATCCTC